CTTCAGCGTCGGTAAATCCAGATAATCATGCATTATTTAAAGTTAATTCATGTTTAGAATTTATACAACTTATATCTGTTTTATATATTTTGTTAAATGCATCAACTCACATTATAAATTGATTTAATTTATAATTAGTTACAATATTCCCATTAAAAATTTGAATTAATTTATAAATATTTTTTTTATCATCTCTAACTCTAAAATGATGAGTTTTATTTATTTTATCTTGTACAGAAGCAGATCCAAATCCTAGTTCTTTTTTTATATAAAATAATATTTGAGCATCCACACTAGATTGTGTGATTTTAAACTCTAAATACCCATTTTTATTTATAATAAAGGATCCATCTCCTTCAGTAAAACCTATAAATCATCATTTAAACTTATTATTTATATTAATTGTTTCACATGTAGTCTCTGAGGAGCCTTTGTTGTTTTCTACAAAGTTTCCTGCGGATTGTCCCTCTTCTTGGATTTTGCCGAAGTCTATAAAATAAACAGAGGACCAAGAATTTAAAACGGGGTGTTCCCGCATATAGTGAAATTTAAGGAGAGCCCAGTTAAACCAACCCTCCATGGCCATAGGTAATCAAATATGAAGACCTACTTGAGAACTTTTCGCCATAGCTCCTATCAATAAACAAATTCCTATAATAGTCACAATATTTTCATTTATATACGGAGCTAATGAAAATACAAGACTATAATCTAAATTACCTAAAGATCATAGTATAACAAACATACCTATTGTTAAGAAACAATCCCCCACTCTATTAGTTAAAAAGGCTGACATAGAACTTTGATTTGCTGCTATTCTAGTAAATCAAAAACTTACCAGTAAATAAGAACATACTCCTACACCTTCTCATCCTACAAACATTAATAAATAGTTATTACCTGTTACTAATATAATCATCATAAAAGTAAACAAACTTAAATAACTAAAAAATCTTTGGTTGTGAGGATCATGACTCATATATCCAATAGAATAGAAATGTACTAATGAACTAATAATTAATACAGGTATTAACATGGATACTGTTAAACTATCAAATTGGAAATTTCATAATATATTAAATGATTCACTATCTAATCATTTAAATAAATTAATTGAAACAGGATTATTATTAAATCCTACTTCAAAAAAGCTAATTATAGCTAAAATTGTTGTTGTTAGTACACATAAACAACCTAAAATACGGCTACCTGTTACACCAACTTTTCTACCGAAAAATCCTGATACTATGGATCCTAATAAAGGTAATATTATAATACTTAAATACATTATTTATATTCTATTGCAATACTTCCTCTTAATCTATAAAATGCCACTAATATAGCTAGACCTATTGCAGACTCTGCACCAGCTATTATTATTATATATACGGCATACGTTTGTCCTATTATATCATCCAAATTTATGGAACTTATTAATATTAAAAATGTTATAGATAATAACATTATTTCTATAGAAATAAGCATTAATATAATATTTTTTCTATTAAATACGAATCCTAAGATTCCAATTAAAAAAAGTACTAAAGTTAAACTCATTTTTTTTTATTTTTATTATCTCAAATTATTCAGATGACGATATATGTATAACACTAATTTATTAAATTGATATATCGCCGTGAGTATAATTATACATGGACAATTATACCAAGGGCATTATAGACTCGAACTATAATTTCGATGTCCGTAGCATCTTGTTTTACCATTAAACTAATTCCCTTTATTAACTTATCTACCAAAGTAGATAATAGTTAAAGTTTGCGTAACAAAATATGCAGGCATTTCTGCTGGCTGCTGGCATGTATAACTAGTGCGTGTGTGTGTAAAACCAAACCACCACCGCGCAATGTTAGTGCTATGCGAATCAGCAAAGCATAATTAAATTATATAACATAAAGTAATAATAAAGCCATCATTAAAGCAAATAAGGCTGTAGCCTCTGAGAAAGCGAACCCTAAAATAGAATATGAAAATAATTGGGCTTTTAAAGAAGGATTTCTAGCTACTCCTATTATTAAACACCCAAAAACTACACCTATACCTACTCCTGCTCCAGCTAATCCAACTGTAGCAAGTCCTGCACCTATTACTTTTGAAGATTCTAATAACATACTATACTATATTAATGTCTAAATACCCGAACTTTTAATGCTGGTTTCGTTAGACCTCTACTATTCATAATATCAAAAAAAAAATCTAATTTAGCACTTCTTAACCGTATTACTAGTTATAAGGCTAGTCTTATACATACACAGTACGTAAATGCTTTATTTATTTACTTTCGATAAAAGTATGAATAAATTTATTAGATTTATAGAAGTAATTATTAGATTGTCTACTATCAATTTTTAGTGCATTTTTACCTAATTCAAAAACAAATCCAGCTGTAACTATGGCTGTAAATATTAATACGATTAATAAACCATAAATACCATTTTCATAACCACTTAAACCAAAAGGATAAATAAGTAATATTTCTAAATCTAAGATTAAATAAACTAAAGCAAAAATAAAGAATTTAACACCAAATTGTGTTCTATTTTGCCCAAGAAAACTATGAAATCCACATTCAAATATACTATATTTTTCTTGATAAGGATTATGCGGAGCTAGTAAAAAATTAAGAGCTAAAAATACTATAGTTAAAATAGATACAAATATAAATAAAAAAGTAACACTACTCATTTTAATAATTAAACAATATTTGAGCCAAAACGGCACCCATACTTAATCATTCTTTATTCATAAATAAAAATAACAATATAACTAATGTAATAGTAGAAATAACAAATGCAATAGGACTTGATAATACAATATTCTTGTAATTAAAACTTAAGTTTGTGTCATTTGCGTAAGCAGAGCCTACACCTACAACTGTTTTATTGTTAGCAAGATAACCTTTTAATGTTAAATTTTCTAATACAGTGTTAATTTTATAGTCTGGTTGGCTGAAAAACATTTCTTTAATTATACCTAAATAATAAATACCTCCCACAACACTAGTTAATATAGCAACTAAAGATAAGAATATTAAACCTTGATCTAAAGCAGCACTCAATACCATTTGTTTACCAAAGAATCCCACTAGAGGTGGTATACCTGCAAATGAAAATATAGTTATAGCAAAACTTAATGCTAATAATGGATTTATATAAAAATAACCTTTTAATTGACTTATTAATTGAATTGGTGAATTATTTTTATCTAATAATTCTTCATGTTCTTTATTTTCACTTGTATAACAATATAAAGAATATCCTATAGCTATTAAAATAAAGAATACATTTACATTACTAATTATATATTGTGTTAAATAAAATAAAAAGGCTTGAGTGGATTCTACACTTGAAATTCCTAAAGCTAATAACATAAATCCTACATGAGATATAGTAGAATAAGCTAATAATCTTTTTATTCTAAATTGAGTTAAACCTACAACCGTACCTATTACTAATGAAAATAGAGAACTCATTAATAAAAGGAATGTTCAATTCATTTCTCCATTAATTGATGGACGTACTCCTACAATAGTACTATTTGTATAATATACTAATTGTAATAATAATATAAAAATAGATATTTTGGCAACTATTGCTACAAAAGTTGTAACTACTGTAGGTATAGCGTCGTATACGTCAGGAGATCAGAAATGAAAAGGAGCAGCACTCACTTTAAATAAAAATCCTATAGTAAATATTACTAAAGAAAGATTAATATAATAAGGTTTATATCATAGATCTACTGAATTTATATCACTTATACTAGTTATAATATATAAACTATCTAAACTAGTACTTCCTGAATTAGCATATAATAAACCTGTTCCCAATAATATGAAGCAAGAACTTAAACCCCCTAATAAAAAGTACATTAATCCCCCAGTAGTGGATAATTCTGAATTTCTATATATTGTACTTAATATATATAAGCCATAACTTTGCAATTCTATGGCTAAGAAAATAGATACTAAGTCATTAGTTGACATTAAGAATATTGCACCTGTAACTATAAATAATATAATTAAAGGATATTCAGTTAACTTATATTGTTCTCCCATTTTATTTATTATCTTTGTATTATAATAAACAAAATTATTAAATAATAAAGATTGTAAGGATGAATGTTGAGATATTCATACTTTTCTAGGATAGAAACTAGTTAACACTAATATTAAAGCACTTACTAAATATACAAATATATGAAATATTAATGTAATATTATTTACTAATAATAAACCTCCATGTATACCAATACCTTTAGTAACAATATTTAATGAAGATAAATCATTTAATATACAATAAAATAAAATTAATATAGCTATTCTATTATATAGAATAGATATATCACGTCTAGCATTAACGGCGTTAGATAATAAGGTGGATAATACAGATATTAGTAACATTTTTTTATTTATTTTTCTTTTCTGTAAAGCAGGGATAGCATTATGCAAAGCATACTAGACTGGCTTCTTTAGAATAAAGATACATACCCTAGTACTAAGCACACAACCCTGCAAGCCTATAGGAGGATTCGAACCTTCGTTACATACGTATGAAATATGAGTTTTAACCGATTAAACTATAAAGGCTAATTATACTAAATATATATTTAGTATACTAATTTTGGTTGCTTCTATAAAATCCTTTTTTGTTTTTACTAAAACAGGAGTGTGTAGCTATATTTATTTTAGTGCGCGTAACGCAGTGCTAGCTTGCTTGCTTGCGCAAGCTATGCTACTACAGCGATGAATTTTAAGAAATATTTATGCTTTACTAACCATAACACTACCATGCGACTGCACAAATTAAAGCTATTAATAAATATCCTTTGTGCTATGAAATAAAGCTAGACTGACAAAATAACTAAATAATTTATGACTAACCTGTCGTGTGTAATCACTACGATTATTGTATGCCTAACTTTATGTGCTTATTACATAGAAGTCTGCCTATATAAAAAACAAACTAAACTTAATTACCTAGGGCGGTTATTGAGAATTGAACTCAAATTAACTATGCCACAAATAGTTGTTCTACCATTGAACTATAACCACCTGAATTTATTTCCTTATGTAAGCAGCGTTCGCTTATTAAATAGCCAGGGATTCATTATTATATATTTAGCTTAGCCCAATTCGAAGGAGCATTGGTATACATCAAAAATCTATGAATTATCCATTATTTTTGTGCTGCTTCTGCAGCTTATTTCATAGTAGCCAGCAAGCCAGCAAGTCTTTATTTTACCTAAAGGCGATTCGAACGCCTATTGTGAACACCAAAAGTTCAAGATTTACCCGTTAATCGATTAGGTATGCAAAATAAGTTAAAAATATATTGTTAAGAGCTCGCTATGAAGTACTAAAATTTTATTAATTTTAGCCGTGGTCGCGGAGCTACAGCTACAGCTCTATTTCATAGCCTTAAAAATTTATTTTTTAATGATCTTCCTTCTTTTATGCAACTATGTAATGCTTGTGGACTTAAAAGTAAGTCTCTAACCACACTCTTTAAAGATGGATATTTATAAATGTAATTATTTTCGAAGCACAGCCATAACGCTGTGCTTCTATGAAATACATAAGTATGCACATTTATAATTATTGTAATATTACCTACTAATTCTTTATATAATCTCATTTTTGTAGCCAACTAAAAAAGAATTAGCAATTTTCCGTAGATTATATTCAGGATTTAATGTATCTATATAATATTGTTCTTGTTTAATAAGCTCATTTTGAGACTATGTAGCAATAAATCATTATATGTAAATCAAAACTTTTATATCCATACTTTAACATAGTAGGCACGCACTAAATTAAGACTTTTAGATTTAGATAATACAGAATTAATTTGGCCTATAGAATAATACTTATATAATCTTTTTGTAGTATTTCATAGCAAGCTCTTTATTTGCACTACCTATATATATTTTGTGCTGCGCTGCTTTGCAGCGCAAGCTATGCTAGAGCTACTGTAGTTATATTTTCTCTACAATAAATACCAGATAATCTTAAATTTTCCTAGGCACACACTAAATAAATCTTCTTAGGCACGCACAAAATAAGGATTTTTATAAGTTTTTAGGCGCGTAATGCAGTGCTAGCTTGCGCTACAGCTAAACATTATATTTATATTTTTATAGGCACGCATCCATTTTTCTTCTATTATAACTTACGCTAGCTTGCATGCGGAGCAACACATAAAGAACCAATTGGTTCTATTAAATATTTATAGTTTATTCTTTATAATAAATCTAAGCTTTAATATATTAATATAATACTTACATAGAATTCTATGAGTTAATACATTTATAAAGGGTCGAACTTGCACATCTTTCTATAGTATAGCCTAAACATATCTGTTTTGTTCAAAGCTGCTAAAAAATCCGCCATTTCATTAAAATATTCTTAAACAACCCTTGAGTTGTTGTTAAATGATATTTATTTTTGAATAGCTCAACTGCAAGAAAAAAAAAATCCTAAAAATCTAAGGGTTTAGTACAGGAGTGCGTAGCTATATTTTTTTTTAGTCACTGTAGTAGCATAGCTTGCGCAAGCAAGCAAGCTATGAATAAAAACTTTTAATCTTACGTACTGAATGTAAACAGTCTTCAGCACTAAAAAATCCAACAATTCAGTAAGGATTGATTTAAGCTAGTTGAAATATGCCCATCTCCTTCTATTAAACCGGCTAAATAATAACCTAATTTCGAACTATTTATTTTATTTTTTTCTATGTTTTTCATTTATTTAATTTTTATATTTATAATTATTACAAAAGAGACATACTTAATTATCTACAAACTATGGATGACGCGAATCGAACGCGCAAGGTTGTTTAATCCTACTGATTCTAAGTCAGCCCTATTTACCAATTCTAGAACATCCACTTAGGCAATAATTGCCAGATTCATTATATACTTTTTATGTGTTGCTCCGCATACAAGCTAGCAAGCGACAAATTTTTCTAAATCATAATCTGAACCTGGATAGTATTTCATCGGCTAATATGAAATAAGCACTTAGTTAAAACTTATTAGATTTTAACCAATCTCTTGCTTGCGGAGCTATTAAAAGTCATATATAATTACCACTATTCCAAAGTTTCTTTATTATTTAATAATTTTGTTTATTATAATAATATTTTAGAGTTGATAATTTAGAATTGCTGAATTATCAATTATATTATTAGAATATTTAAAGTTAATACTATATAGCCATTTAGAGTCTATAGTGTAACGATTAAAAAATGTTGAATGCTTAATTATATTATTATTAAAATTAATGTGAAGGTTTAATGGTCTTTTAGAGTCTATATTGTAATTATTTAGAATTGTTGAATTCTCAAATATATTGTAATTATTTAGAATTGTTGAATTTTTAAATATATTATAATTATTTAGATTTGTTGAATTATCAAATATATTATAATTAAAATTATAGATTTTATAAGAACTTGCTTGCGGAGCTACTAGAATGGGAGTGTCTTTTAAAAATAGAGATAGAAATCAATGTTTTTTATCATAGCTCGCGCTAGCACGTACTGAGTTTGAAGAAGTCGATACATAAGATTTAATATTATTAGTACATGTCTCATAAAGGATGTAATTATCCTTTATATCTATTATATCATTATTTATATTATCTTGTAGTGATATATATAAATAATAGAAACTAATAACATATACTAATAAAAAAAAAATAAAAATAAATAATGTAATAGTAATTAATTTGTTAAGTGGTATGTATGAAGTCTTATTAATATTATAATAAAAGTTTACCGATTTTATATGTAATTTATGACTGCGCAAACTAAAGCTCTTAATAGAGTGAATTTTTAATTTTGAAACTTCTAAAAAATCCTTTTTATTGTAAAAAGGTATATCTTTAAATATAGTTATATTATCATCGTTGGATGTAATAGAAAGGGTGATTCATACAACAGAATGTCTAAATTTTTGTGTGTTGCTCCGCATGCAAGCTACTCAAAATTTATTAAGTAATGGAAGTATGTTATTATAATTAAAGTTATTATTTAATTCGTATTTAATGTATTTCATGTGTTAAGTATAATTTAATGCCCAATAGTTTGGTCACGCATTGGGAACGCGGGTGGTTTGAATAAGGTGAAAGTTCCCACACTGCTACTTTTAACCTGTATTATGAGTCAATATAGGATTTTTAAGATCGTTCTCTCGCTATAGAGACTGAGAAAATCCTATATTTTTTTTTGGTAAGGTGTAAAATTTTCATGTGTTAAAGTAAAATGTGTTATCAATATTTCTTAAACGAATTCCTCGTTGTTACACTTATAGTGATAACGAGAATAATGTTAGAGAATTGGGTGATTTATATAAAAGTTGGTTACTATTAATTATAGTGTATTTAGAGTCAACTATAAAAAATGGGGTCGTTCTCTGGCTAATGGTTAACTTCTTTGAGATTATGATTTTTTGATATCTTCTCATTACTGCATGAGATGGCTATCATGTTAATTGTACATCTATTTTTTTTTTTATATATTCTCATTACTGTTAAAAATAATATAAATATACTTTTATAACATAGCTAATAAAAGAAACAAACTTAATGCTCTAATTTAAAACTTACTAGACTCGAACTAGTATTATATAGTATAGTCATACCATATTGTACTAAAATTTATTGTAGGCAGCAGCTTAATACGCGGTAAAGGATAATCACGCACGTATTAAGTCTAGTAAATTTTATACGCTGACTTCTTCTATAAAATAACCAATTTTGTATTTCTTTTCCTTTCTTTATTTGCTGTTTTTACTAAAAACTCCGAAGAAAAGCAAAGCACAGATAGAACTATTTGAAGAACCAGTATTTAATAGTGCCTCCTAAACATTTTAATGTGTGCTCCATTCTTACTTCGTATACAGAAAACGCTCGTGCGAAGGAAAGCTACTACCCTCTATTCATTTTAGTGCGCTGCTAACGCAGCGCATGAAACTATACCTACAAGAGGTATTTTTCTATATTCTATAATTAGAGTTCGTTAGTATAGGATATACTCATATTGTACTTTGGAGCCTTAGTTATAACGACATTATCTCATTTTTTATCATCAGTTAAAAATAGATGTTGATTATTATCTATAGGTTTTAAACGAATAAATTCAAAAAATCTTTTTAACTGACTATCACTATTTAAAATATTATAAATAGTTGAAGTTTTATTAATAGTATAATTAGGGAAATCAGCAGAATAATTTTGGTCTAAAAAAGCTATATTATATAGCTCTTGATGTCCATTATTATTTACCACCTGAATAAATTCCATTCAATTATTTACTATATTTACTCCATAAATAGCCAAGTCAGCCTGATTAACCTCTTCATTACAAGCTTTTATGAAAGCTTCTCGTTTTTCAGTTAACAGAAATTCTGTTCCCCTTAAATTTGTACTCCTATCATTACCACTTAAATTAAATTCACCGATATTGAAAAAAACTTTATATGGACTTCCCCCTTTAATATAATGATCAGAAATATATATAGAATTAGATTCTCCCCTTGATTTTTTTTCCCCCTTAAAGTCTAAAGTATTATACTCATCATAATCCGAATTAACAATATGCATTAGGGGCAATGGACCCATATTACCATCACCTAATTTTTCTAATAAAGGAATTAAATAATTATTCATAATATTGTAATTAATAAAAGCATTATTGTTTTTAATAAAAATATTATTATTAAACATACCTTCCCCATTATTAAAAATGGAATCCATACGTTCTCCTTCATGTTGAGGTCCATTATCATTTCTTTCACGCATAGAATCAATATTAAGTTGAAGACTCGGCATAAATTGTCTTATTGCATCTGTTCTAAAATACGTGGTTATCCTTGGTATTTGTATCATGTTTAAAGGATTATTAATTAATCTACCTGGCGTAATAACAATACCACCATCATAGTAATTTTGTTTTGGTATATTAGTATTATATATTGATTTACTTAATATATGAAAACGATTTTTTTCGGGGCCAGTTATACAATAGCTAGGAAAATATATATTATTTTTATTTATACTAAATTCAGGGTCGTTCGACACAAATAGACTTAATACATATATATTAGTTCCAGCTAAAGAACTAGAAATATTACCTAGAATTCAGTTTGAATTATTATTTACACGAATACTATGTAATTTATATTCTAATTCTACATTTAGAGCCTTAGCTAACGATTTCATTTGTTCTTCATAACAATGAACTAATTTTAAAATTTGAGAGTCACCTTTATTCCTGATTTCTTTAAAAGCATCTCTATCCCATATCCTGGCTTTTCTTTCTGTCCCTTCATGTAGAATATCCTTAAATTTGGTATAAGTAACATTATACACATCTTGCTTAGCTGCCAACTTGTCCTTCTTTCCATCTCCAAATCTTCACCCGGATGATTCTATTGCATCATCTAAACCCAAATGAGCTGTACATAGACTTCCTCCTATTATTCCAAGAATTGTTGTTGAATTTAAAGGTATTGCTGATTTTAGTGTCTGGTTCATACCAGGGGGGCTAGTACGCGGAGGAAATACCACTATATTTTTATTTTTTTTTATACTAAATAATAAAAATATTATTAATAATATTATAAAACAACATACAATAATCATAAAATATAAACCTGGCAAATTTTTATTTATATATATTATTAATATTATGTATATACAATTATATATAGTTACATTATTCGTAACTTTTTTATTAAATAGAGAAAAATCTTCTACTGTGATATTTTCTCTATTTATTTCAGTCGCAGTCGCGGAGCTACAGCTGTAGCTAACGCAGCCGTCCTTAAGAAACGAGGCATACTTCGTTAGCCAGCCACTAAAAATTCAAAGTAAAGAATTTAAGACTTTTCATAATATATTGCTTATATAAATAATAATTGTAATTGAAAGCAATACAACTAATATGTAACAAAAAATGTCATCTTTTTCTAATAAAAACAAGACCCCATTCCTTATTATATTTCTAAAAATAAAACTTAATATAAGAAATATCAAGTAAAAAATTAAAAATCTCTTACATTCTAATAATTTAATCATAAGGCCTAGAATATTTCCTTTTCATTTCTTATAAAAATGTTTATTGTTAAAATCTTTTAATAATGCATAAGAAAAAATAAAACCTAAAATACTTAGGAACACAAATTTAGTATTATTTAAAATAAATTTTGCCCCTAAGCTTAAAATCATGTAAAATATTACATTGCCAATACATTTTAATAAACAGCCAAATCATCCATATCCTGGATTTAAAATGGTAGTTATTAAATCTTTACATATATTTATCGATATATATATATAAGTATAATCGAAATTTACATTAACATAATAACTTATAGAATAAACTATAATTCCTGTTAATATTATACAAATGACATATTTAATACATTTGTGCACAGCGACTAAAAATATGTTCATGTTCATATTTTTTTTTTATTCATGTTTTTCCTACTAATAGTAAATTTTTATCAAACAAAATGTTGATACAGCTAGGTACGGCCAGCTACCCTTAACGCTTGTTCAACGAAAAGTAGCCAGCGGGCCGGCCTGCATGTTCTCTTACCTAACGCAAGCGTTACTTATTAACTAATGGTTGAGAAGTTAACAAAGAACTTAGATAAGACTTGCTGGATTCGAACCAACACCATAATGATTAAAAGTCATACGTACTGCCAATTGTACCAAAGTCTCTCCTATAAATTAGACTACTATTCTTATAAAAATAGTTCTGTTGCTCAAGGTAATATTCAAACTTACAATAAAAATAGCTTCAATATTTCACTTTGCGTAACGCTGCTTTGCAGTGCAAGCTATGCTAAAGCTCTATATTTTTATCTTTATGATATATAATAACAACATAATTATGCCCAAGGTGGGATTCGAACTCACGACCTAAACAACTTCAACGTTCCGCTCAACCTCTGAGCTTCTCGAGCTTTATATATATCACTAGTAAATCTAATTTCCTTATTTTTATATTTTTTAATACTACTATGAAATAAGCACTAAAATAATCTTTTTATTAATTGTTACATCTAAATAGGATTTAATAGGAATAATATTATTCATATTTATTCATATTTATTTTTGTGCGCAAGCATAAAAGACTAACCCTTGCAGACACATAGTCTAAGGAGAATGTAATACTTTAAGTTTATTTTAAGGCTGTGCATATTTGATAGCCAGAAGTATGCATATAATTTTATTTCGTAGCGCTGCTTTGCAGCGCAAGCTATGCTATGCCTATGAAATACTATCCAAGATTTTAATGTTAATCTTTGGAGGTATCAAGAATCGAACTCGAATTAACGATATGCAAAATCGCAGTTTTACCAATTAAACTATACCCCCTGTGGCTGCTTGCGCTACTTTGTAGAACTGTATTATGAAATACTCTAAATAAAAATTAATAATAATGGATATATTTATATCACTAGTACTACGAAGTACTATTTTTTAGAGGCTTATTTTATAGAAAAATACCAATTTACCTTAATTCTGCCTCTGCTATTTCATAGCAAAAAACATTATATATATAATAAATAATAACACTACCACCCTAACTCTTAATTCTACAATAATCTGAATTATTTAAGAAATGTATAAGAGTAATTATAATTTAGATAGATACCAGATATTCTAATAGAAAGCTGGTAAGCTATCTCTTGTGCCTACCAAATTAGTGACTATTCTTTGTTTAATATTACATAAAAGCACAAATTTTACAAAGTTGCGCTGCTTTGCAGCGCAAGCTATGCTAATTATAGTTTAATTATATTTTTATATAAGATATACTCTACTGTGTCCAAGGAAAGACTCGAACTTTCAAGGCATTACGCCGATGTGTTTTAAGCACATCATGTTTACCAATTTCATCACTTAGACTTAGGGATAAAGTGAATTGAACACTTACAAGTACTGTTATGAGCAGTATACTCTACCAATTAAGCTATATCCCCTTTATTTATATAATAAAATAAATATCTATTTTAGTAGCATAGCTTGCGCAAGCAAGTAAGCTATAATTAAAACAATTATAGTATAAAAATACAACTGTGTGCTGTTCTGTTTTGTTGTAAGCGGGTACAGGATTTGCACCTTATGATCTTTCGGGCATGAGCCGAATATGCTAACTATTACACCAACCCGCAGTAGACTAGACAGGATTCGAACCTGCGATACTAACATCGAAAGAGTTATGTCTTACCACTTGACTACTAATCCTTAATCTTTTATTCTGTAGCCTGCGTAAGCAAAGCTAGTAAGTAAATTTAGGCACACAGAGCTCAGTACAAGAATCGCACTTGTGTCCATTGATTACAAAACAATCGCATTACTTTTATGCTAACTAAGCGTAAACTTACTTATATATAATAGATGTTGTAGTTTCATAAGAAGCTACATACACTACTACCGTACACACATAAAAATTTATATAGATATATTTAAATATAGTGATTTATTAAATTAGTACTTTATCCTTAAAAATCTCAAGATTAATACAAGTTAAGCCTATATAAAATTTTCGTATTGATATAATACGCATATTTAAGAAATATCCAAAGGGAAGCTTCATGCCTATATGCTTTCAGCACTTATCTTTAACAAACTTAGCTTTCCTGCCGTGCCTATGTAATCAATTTATCCTAGTGAAAGAAACATTCTTATGTACAATAGTACAAGTATACATATAAATATGTATATTAATATTTAGACACATAAACAACAGGTAAACCATAGGTTCATAACTATTATCTAATTAGCAAAACTAATTAAATTCTTCTTGTTCCTTTCGTACAAAAGTTCCTTCTTTTTTTATTCTAATTCCCTCTAGAAGATAGAAACCATACTGTCTCACGACGTATTTAACCCAGCTCATGTAACTTTTTAATCGACGAACAGTCGCACCCTACATAGTTTCTGCATCCATGAGGAGAAGTTAAGCCGACATCGAGGTGCCAAACCGCGCACTCATTATGTACACTCTTGCGCAAATTAGCCTGTTCTATTTGTTATCATTTTTTCCATTTTTCTCAGAATGGTTCAGACTATGTCTTCATTTTTATATTATTAATAAAAGATTTAACGATTGTTTCACTAACAATGTTAGCAGTTCTAAAGCTAACATTTTCTTATTTACCTGCAATTCAACCTTTAACAGCAAAAGCTCCTACACGACGTTTTGATTTAGCTCAAGAATAACTAAGATTTGAATGAGTATTTCCTCTAAATAAAACTGAACTTAAACCTATGTAAGATGAAGCTATATTTTTCAATCCACCCTTTCTCTTTAAAGAAAAAATTGATCTATCCGCTCTATAACGTTTAGTTAATCTACCATTAACTTCTATCTTTATCCCTCTCATGTTTTTATAATCAATTGAGTTATAAATTAAGTTATGTATATTATCTGCGTTGTTATATATTCTTGTGAATAATTCAGAAATATTCCCTTTTTTAGTTCTAGTTACCTTAGTATTACTACCGTCGTACACTGAATCTAAATGAGAAAGAACTTTTAAATCCTTATATTTATTTTGGTATTTATCAAAATTTCCTCAAATTTCTGCTCTAGTTCTTTCTTGTAAAGTATTTGCTGTAGGTAAATATGCTTTATTTAAAACAGCTAACATTCTACGTACATGTCCTTGTTTAATTTTTTTTATTTTTAATGCTAATATCTTTGTGAAAAGATCAGTATTATATGAAATAGATTTTAAATTTATAATATTGTATTCTACTTTTTTTCCTATTATTTTACTTAATAAGTTACTCAATTTAGGTAATAATATTAATTTATTAAATTTAAATTGATTAAGTGAATATAATATATTATATCTTCTTAATAAACGTATATAATACTTAGATTCCTTTTTTATTAAAAAACTTAATGTTTTTCTTAATAAAAGATTATTTAATTTAAAAAAAATTTGTAAAGAATTTCATTTATGATTTAAATAATCCTTTTTTCTTATTAAGTTACTTATAAAAATATATTCATTTCATATTTTTAAAGTTTTTGCTAATAAATTATCATTAGTTTTAGTATCATTCATAAATCAATATATATTATTTATATGTTTATTGTATGAATGAATATAATTTTTAAATAATTTAAAGCTTAAATTTTTATATATGTTCATATATTTTTCTTTTAATATTTTTTTTTCTCTATTTATAGTATATAAAGTTATTTTTGCTTTATTATTAGTATGTTTAATTTCTACATTACTTATAAATATTCTTCTTAAAAATTTACGTCTTCTTTTAAAAACCTTTATTCTTCTTTTATTTTTATAGGCACGCATATTTCGTACGAAAAATAAATCAAAATAATTTTGTACTATTTTATTCACATTAACATCGTTAACTGGAATATTTTTCAAATTATTCTTATTAAAAGAATAAATAATATTTCTCCATTCCTTAGAAAATGAAGGTAAATATCTTGGTTTTCCTAGGATATTTAATTTGGATCTTAAAAGTACACTTTTAGGATTTTTATTTAAATTATTATTAAATATTTTCATTTTTAATAAACGATTCCCTGACTTCGTCAGCATAACTGTGTTAGAGTTCTTCATTATTTTTTATTCTTTTTTTTTATTTCTTTTATTTATTAGTATATTAATAGATTATAAAAATGTTGGGTAGTAATAAAGGATTATTGTGTATTATGCATAAACACTCACCTTATAGTCGTTGAACGTTTTTATTTTATAATTATGCTAAAATAAACTTCGCTTCAAATTTACTAAACTTAGTAATTCTTGAAATTTACCCAATTTATATCAATTATTTTATGACTGTTGTTAAAACTCAAGCTTTAGCTGTAGTAATAGTATTACACTATAAAATACAGCCCCAGCACTAGCGTTATGCCAACAGCCTATAAAATATTAAAGGACAAACATCCCTAGCGTAGCTTTTCCAATAATCCAAGATCTTTCCTTATTGCATCTTGTGATCCTATGCCCTGCTTACGCAACTGTAAGATTTGTAGATAATCAAACAGTAAGGCAAGATTTAGCCGTTGAGCTTTCTAGATATTATCACCACTATTATTAAATTAATAGCTAGAAAAAATTATTAAGTAATCTTTTCAATTATCTCTAATTTCTATATAGTAAAAATCCTACCTTTTTTTAAATATATAGGAAGTTATACATTAGTACAACGTATATATAATTAAATGTATATGATTAAGAATAGTTAAACTACCCAAAATTACAAACAAAATTATTGTAAATTATTAGACACTCCTGTTTACTCTTTACAGGGTCTGTGCCCCACATAAACTGTCTCCTAATCATAGTTCCTTATCTAAGGGTACCTATTTATATATAAAGATATATATATAAAATAGGCAGAGACTAGTTGTATTTAAAACATTAAAAGCTAATGCTTTCAAAGTCTTAAACCCTCTCATTCGTATGAAAAAAAAATAAAGGTTTCTCATGTTTATATTATCTATTCCCTTTTAGTCTGAAAGATGTTTATCATATTCTATAATTAGTAACAGTAAAGCTGCATAGGGTCTTCTCGTCTAACTAGAGGTAAGCTGTATCTGCACAGCTATTCCAATTTCACTGAGTCAATCATAGAGACAGCTGTTGTATCGTTACACCATTCATGCAAGACCGCATTTAACGGCCAAGGCATTTCGCTACCTTAGGACCCTCACGTTAAGGCCGCCTTTAACCGGGGGTTCTGTCAACATCAAATGTTAGATCATTTAATTATCTTCATTAACCAGCCGGCACCGGGCAGATTTCACACTTTATACATAGATTTTTTTATCTTTAAGCAAAGTGCTGTGTTTTAATTAAACAGTCGTACAACATTATTCCATGCTTCTTCCTCTTTACTTGATATTAATCAAGAATAATGAGCCCTCTTTATTCCGAAGTTACAGTAGTCAATTTGCCGAGTTCCTTTATGATTGTTAGCTCAATCACGCCTTCGTATACTCTACTTGCTTACTTGTTTCAGTATCTAGGTACGGTTATTTTTCATCCGTTTACTAGCAGTAACTAATGCTACAACTATAAACGAATATATTACTATTTTTCCAGTACATTTTTCACTTAAAATGTCGTCATTAGTAAAAAAGATTTTCTCATCGTTTAAATCTTTAGATTATATCTAAACTTAGAGGCCGTTACTTAAATCTAGCCATAAGCTTAAGGCGGAAAATAAATTTTCTTTTAGTTACTCATGTCACCATTATCACTTGAGTTCGATCATTATAGTTTTATTTAAAAAATAAAAATCATAATTTAACTCAACGTTCTGCTACCCCATAAAATTATTATATTGCTGGCATGCATAAGAAGCAGCTGCATATTTATTATAACATTTTATGGACAAGATTTCGGTATATAGTTTAGATCCGTTATATTATTGATGCCTTTATAACTTAACAAGCGCTCTGTTACGAGATCATAAAATTGTGGCTGCTTCTAAGCCTATCTCCTTGTCGACTTGAATAAAGACCTTCTTCATTTCACTTAACTATAATTTAGGAACCTTAATTCTTGTTCTGGGCTGTTTCCCTTTTGACATACTACCTTATCATACTATGTCTGATAATTCAAGTTATATCTTTGCCATTCCGAGTCTGCATACTCACTGATAAAATCTTTATGATCCCCCAATTTGTACAAAATAAGACGAAATTGCCTTGTCTGAGATTAATTTCTGTACCTGCTAAGATATATTTACTTAAATTTCCTACTATTATAGGTTTCGCAGAAAACCAGCTATCCAAGTCAGTGTTGTCTTTCACTACACCTACCACAGTTCTTCGGATGTTATTGCTACAACAACCCGTTCGGACTTTTATAATCCTGACTATGGTAAAATCACCTGGCTTCGGGTCTAACTTTAGGCACTCTGGCGTTATTTTAACGTCCGGTTTATCTACGTATTTTCTCGCATCTAATGTTAACTTGGTGACCCATTATGCAAAAGGTACGTTCTTTAGCTTACGCTTCGAACTGCTTATAAAATTACTATTTATCTTTGTTCCCTCATGGTACTCAACCACTATCGCTTACATATTATATTTAGTCTTTGAGGAAGGTTCCCCTATACAAACAGTTTATCAACCATTTTACTTTTTAGACTTATCTACTTTCACTCACGCTATTTGTAGAATCTCTTTTGATTTATATTCCTAAAGCTACTAAGATATTTCAATTCGCTTCGTTTATTAAAAGATTTCTCTTAGAGTTAATTTAAATTATGATTTATTATTACTAGAATAGCCTTATTATATCATTTTTATTTTACTTTCTCTTTAATATACAGCTAAAATTCCATAATAATCCCTTTTTATACTTGTATTTATATAAATAACAATTATATATCTTAAAGTTATTTCTTTTTTTTTAGTATATACTTATAAAAAGTAGTTTATTCTATTATGTATATATTATATAACAGTTATTGAGTATTTCTGCTTACGAAGTAAGGATGAAACACATATAACTTATTATTATATTACTTATTAATAGATTATTATATAGTTATTATTATATAATTCTTTATAACTATAGCACTATGCTATGTTACATAAAGAATAATTTATTTAATATTTATAAAAAATCTGATATTCGGATTATTACGATTCGAACGTAACTGATCTTTGACCCAAACAAAGCACCTAACCTACCCGGCCCTAATCCGTTTATATATTCCAAGAGTACTTGGATTTGAACCAAGAATGTGAAGGTTGAAGCTTCCTATTTTACCTATTAAATTATACTCTTTTATGTTAAGGTTAAACAGTACTAGAGCTTACCTTATAATCCTTTCATAAAAAGCAGTATGCTGGCTAGCATATGTTAAATAACCCACCACCAGATGGAAGTAACGCTAGTACTATAGCTAATTAGCAACACTAGTACTATGAATTACAGAGAATATCCGATTCGAACGGATGCGGCTTCTTACACCTAATAAAACTCAAACTTACCGCCTTAAACCACTCGGCCAATTCTCTTTTGTGTGTGAAACCGCTACATAGTATTCACTAAAGTACACCATTGCCATAATACGCCACCCTCTATGAAATACTACATATTTCATAGCCAGCAGCACATAATTCCTCAGTGAATTGAACACTGATTTTATTCTTATCAAAAATACACTTTACCATTAAGTTAAGGAATCTTATAAAAATTTCTATTTTTATGTAGATAATTAGCTATGGTTTCACTAACTATGTTCGCTATATTAAAGCTAGCCTTCATTTGTTCTTTTTTGTAGTGCATACTTCGTCAGAAGTATGCAGTACTATGAAATAAAGCCAGCCAGAAAATCAGCCTATACACAGGCTAGTAATTTTTCTTACTTCGTAGAAGTACGCACATAACTTTGTACATCCTTCTATGGTTATTATATAGTGCATATCACAAGCTATTTATACTTTTAAGTAGCTAACTTGTATTTAATAGTAAAGCTACTTAGAAGTGTAATGTAATATTTGTCCTGTGTAGATATAGTACTATAATATCGTTAAAGGATACATTCCTATAGATATAACCGCTAATACTATATACTAAAGGCACAATTGAGGGATAAAGGAATCGAACCTCTCACCCTTTGCGTGTAATACAACCGTTCTACCACTGAACTAATCCCCCTTAATTAATATATATTTGTACTGTTAGCTTACTTCATAATGATGCTAGCACGTAGTGCTAAACTAAAGCTTCATTATTCAGTATTGCATAGCAAGCTCTTATTTTATTGTTATAATTATAGCACCAACCATAGCTAATAATAATATTATACTAGCCAATAATAATCACATATTAAATACTGTGTATAATACCATACCTATTGTAGCTGCATGATTTGTTTCTGTTATATACCCGTCTCAATTATTACTTGTTACAAACATAACATTAGCAATAGAATTTTCTGCAGCTTGTACATTTCACACAAAAACCATACTTTTTAATGTATTAAAAAATTCGTAACCGTAGCCTGCGTATGCGGATGAAATTATATTTGTATATACAGAACTATTAATAATACTATCTGTAGAGTCTGTATAGCTAATATATTGCGGTGATACTTGGAATCAAGCATAATTTAATAAAATTATTATTAATAATGCTAATGGTACACTATTTACATTATTACTTAATAATTCACTTGTTCTTATATTAATAAGCATTAAAATAAATAAAAATAATATAGAGATCGCACCTATATAAACAATTAAATAAGATAAACCTATGAAATTTAATCCGGCTAAAATTAAATACACTGAAATTACCCCAAAAAGTCCGATTAAACACATAAGAGATCCTATAGGATTCTTAATTATTATAACTATTGCACCAAAAAATAATGCTAGTACACTAATAAATTCTAATGATTCACTTTTATATCCACTTAATATATGGTCATATATCACTAAAACTTTTTCACTCATTTTTTATTTATATTCATGTCTCCCTACTAATAGTAAATTTTTATCAAATAATGCTGCTAGAACTTGCTATGAAATCTTCCATCAAAGCGCGGCTATGGTCTACGAAGTAGCACACACAGACTAGTCACTTAAATACGGGTAGTCAGATTCGAACTGACGCAATTTGATTGGAAGTCAAAAGGTCTACCAATTAACCTATACCCGCTGCTAATATTTCCGTAGTCTAGTCTAAAGACTAGACGTAGGCATAGCTTTCCTTACTTCGTAAGAGTACGCCGATGATTTGTACTAATTATAAAATATAATTATGAACCTCAATAATACATCGATACATACAAGAATAATCATACTACGTCAACAAAGTGTCAGTATAATATTCCACCTTCATAACCAAGATGATGATGATCTGTTAAGTGATAAGATATTATTCTTCATAAACCTACAGATAAGAAAATTGTACCAATTATAACGTGGAATCCGTGAAATCCTGTACCAAAAAAGAAACATGTTCCAAATGCTCCATCACTTATTGTAAAAGATGAAACACTATATTCAACTCCCTGGAAGAATGTAAATATTATAGCTAATAATACTGTGAAAATAGTTCCGTAAATAGCTCCTGATCTATCTCCTTTTATTAAAGCATGATGAGCATAAGTAATTGTAGCTCCACTTGATAATAATATTACTGTATTTAATAAAGGTAATTCGAAAGGATTTACAGGATCTATTCCCATAGGAGGTCATTGGCTACCTAATTCTATAGTAGGTGTTAAAGCACTATGGAAAAATGCTCAGAATATAGCTAAAAAGAATAAAGCTTCAGAAACTATAAATAAAATAACTCCTAAGTTTAATCCTTTTTGAACAGCTAAAGTATGATTTCCTAAATAAGTACCCTCAGCAATTATGTCTCTAAATCATAAAGACATAGTAGTTATTACTAAAAATAGCCCTATAAAAAATAGAATATATGCATTATTGAATAAATGCATAGATAATGCAGCATTTATTGTTAAAATGAATAAAGAAATACTAATATAAAATGGTCAAGGTGAAGGAGATACTAGATGAAATGGGTGATCTTGAAAATTGTTTCTAACGACGTTAGTCATGGATATTCTTATGAAAAGAATTGCGTAGGTAATGCATACTAGACTAACGTATTTAAATTAAGCCTCTAAGATGAATCGAACATCTATCATAATATTAACAGTATCACGCTCTACCGTTGAGCTATAAAAGCTTAATCGGGAAAGAGGTGACTCGAACACCCAAGTGTATAGACACAAAGTTTAGCAAACATCTTACCCTACCAATGGAAGTACTTTCCCTGTGTTTTTAATTTCTTTATCTTTGATAAAGAAATCTAAGCGCGTAATGCAATGCTAGCTTGCGCTACAACTATGCTACTACGTGATAGATATAGCGCTAATATATAAAATCATTTAAGGCTGTGCTTCTTTAAAATCCTTCTTAGTTTTTACTAAAGGATGCAATATTTATGCCATCCTTACTCCGTAAACAGAAGGAAAGATAAAGCACCCTTTACTTAATTCATAGAAATAATGAATAAACGAGGAATACATGCTTATTTCATAGTAGCCAGCATGCGTTATTTCATACTGCTTATTTCATAGTAGCCTATGAAATATTATAAGGAACTTGTCCGCAGGCTAGTAAAACTCCTCTGCGTAGCCTTCCTCTAGCTTTATGCGTAAATTATGCTAGCCTTAAGAAACTACGTTAACAAGCTCATAGTTAGTACTTATTAGCTAGCGTAATGTATACATAACAACGTAATGCTAGTACTATAGCAACAAAACTCTAAAATTATGAGCTTTAGCGGTCGTTTTATGTTAGCAGTGCTAAAGCTAACCTTGCACGAATTAGATCAGGATCGAACCGACATCTATTTCCGTGACAAGGAAATCCTTTACCTAATTAAGTTACTAATTCTTAGCTAACACAATCTTGTGCTAGTATGCATTATTTCTAGAAGCGTAATAAATAAATACATAGCTTTATGTGTAGCCGGAGGCTAGCAGCAACTAAAAGTGCCTGCATGAATGTGTACTTCGTAGTGAATACTACGTAGTGGTTTTACTGCTACTTATTTCATAGTAGGCTGCCAGTCAGCCAGCCTACACACGGCTGCTTCTATGAAAGAAATACAGCAGCCGTAGTACTGACGTTATGCCAGCAATAATATAATGCTAGTAGGAGACAAGAGATTCGAACTCTTAAAAGCAACAGCTATTGAGTTTACAGCTCAACCCTTCTTACCAATAAAGGAAGCCTCCTTTATAATTATTATATATCTTATATAATCGATTTTTTATATAGTTAAAGTTAATAAATCCCGTGCAACTTCCACTACACGAACCGTATTTCGACTTAACACTAATTAAAGCCACGCATACGAAGATTCCCAATATAAGAATAAATCTGTTTATTTAAGTGCTTATCATTGAAAAAGCAAACTTATTGCGCATGCCCCTTTCAGCATGTGACGAGTGGTTAGTACCAATCCAAATAATATTCACCGTGACATGGTGATTCACGATTACTAGTAATTACTTATTCATATAGTCGAGTTTCAGACTACAATCCTTATAAAATTATATCCTATTTTTTGAGATTAGCTCAAATTCACATTTTTGCATCTCTTTGTCTAGGAAAATGTGGCACGTCTATAGCCCGCAGTATTAAGGCCATGATGACTTGTCTTTGTCCCCTTTTTCGTTCCTAATATGTGGAAATAAATACTTTATCGTATATCTAAAAAATAAAGCCAGGGATTGCGTTAGTTCCGTGGAAACCACAGTTTCACAACATTAACTGGAAACAGCCGTGCAACTCTTGTAAATATACAAACTGCGGTAAGGTTTTTCGTGGATTATCGAATTAAACAACATACTTCACTACTGGTGTCAGAAACGGTCTAGTGATTTCAGTTCCTGCGTTGCCACATTACTCTTGAGGTGGAATGCTTACACTTTCATTTATAGACTAAAAATTAATCTAACCTATGGCATTCATAATTTACTGCAAAGACTACTGGGGTATCTAATCCTTTTTGTTACCTATGCCTTCGTCCCTCAACGTCAGTTTTTAAATAAAGGGCTGTCTTCACCTTTACCAGTCCTTTTGGTATTACGAAATTTTATCTCTCCTCCGCAAGTTCTGCCCTCTTCCATAAAACTCTAGTCAAATAGTTACATTTACATTTAACATGCTATTTTGACCGTCTAGGTACCCTTTAAACCTAATTATGATGAATAACACTAGTCTCTTACGTATTACCGCGACTGCTGGCACGTAATTGGTCAAGACAGAATATATATATTGTCATTTATTTACTCCATCAATATATAAACAAAGCTTCATTCTTAAATTTAATCCTATTTTGGACTTATCACTTTTCCAAGTTACCAGTTCAGCCGTTAGGCCATTGACCAAAATTCCTCACTGCTGTACTAATATGCATTGGGGTTTTTTCAGACCCAATGTGGCCGATCAACCTTTCAGTTTCGACTACGAGAGTTTTAAGCTAGTTAAGTCATCACCTTAACTACTACCTGTCCCGAAAATATTTATCATCCTCTCAAAGCGACCACAAATAAAGAAACATAAGTCCCTTTTTCCCTTGCCTTGTCTTTTTATATTATGAAGGATTTACCTTCTCTTCGAGGTCGGCAAAAATATTCATATACTCACCTGTACACCACTTTTTAATTAGAAAATTAATTAAAACGTTCGATTAGCATGTGTCAAAGCACTTGGACAGCATTCAATCAGAGCCATCACCAAACTCAACTTAGTTATACTATCTTTTTTATGATATTGATATATATCACTAACATACCTAATATCTTATTATTAGAATAAAGAAATTTAAACTATATACTGTTTCACTGACTTTAGAACTATTTTTCTTCAATAACCTCGTAGCTCGAACTATTTATTTTAAATATTGAACTATTTTGTTTTAATTTCTATATATATATTAGACATTCTAGTGTTCCTTAAGCTATACATAACTTTAACTTTGTTAGCTATAGCGCTGCGCTACGAAAGGATAAATTTATCATTATTATAATTTTCCTCTTATTTCCATTATTCTATGATTAGAAACTGACTTTACACACTATAAATTCGTGTTGCCAGCATACCATCCTACACTTTAGTGTAAATCTAATCCATCTTTAATATAAGATGAAGCTAACACTACAAACACTTGAGCTTGAATAAATGCTATAGCTAATTCTAAACCAGAGAAAGCTATTATAAATAATAAAGGTATTAAACCTAAAATAAAGAATATAAATCCTGAATTCATTATATTATATACAAAACCACTTAATATACTTAATAGCATATGCCCAGCTGTAATATTTGCAGCTAATCTAAGACCTAATGATACATTTCTAGCTAAATATGAAATAAATTCAATTATAACTAATAAAGGTAAAAGAGGTAAAGGACAACCTGCTGGTACTAATAAAGAAAAGAATTTTAAACCATGTTTTTGGAATCCTAATATAGTAGCACCTAATACTATTGTAAAACTAAGAGCAAAAGTTAAAGCAAAATGACCTGTTGAAGCAAAACTATAAGGTACCATTCCTATTAAATTATTTATTAAGATAAAAATAAATAAAGTATACATGAATGGGAAATATATTTGCCCGTTTTTAGGGTTTATTTGGTTTGTAACAATGTTATGTATTGTAACATATAAAGATTCTTGAGCTATAGATCAGTTATTACTTACTAATTTGTTATAATTTGTTGCAAGTAAACCTGACACTAAAATAATAACAGTACCTGTTATTAAATAAAATGCAATATTTGTTATAGAAAAATGGAAATTACCTCCTAAAACTTCTAAATTTAAAATATCTCTGATTTCAAATTGGTCTAAAGGACTAATTATTTCTGTAGCCATTTCGTTAGTGCTACTAACGAAGTAAGTAGAAAATAAATTATTATTAAGCATATAAAGATTAATAATGCCACATATTGGATATTGAAATATCTGTATCTTAAAAATTAAGATTCATGAGTTTTAACGTTAGCCATAAAATCATAATTGTGTAATCATAATCAACTAAATTACTACCGTATGTGTCTAGCTTTATTTCATAGCACACACAACCACCATAACGTTAGTGTTATAGTGGTGGGTGGTTTCACTACGAAGTAATACACGCTAGCCGTATAGTTTTATTTCATACCAACTAAATAGATTTTATTTTATTTATTGTGAATACTTGTTCACATAAAAAATTATATTTTATTTATGTATATACGAGATACAAATAATCTTACAATTCTTGGTAATATATATTTAGATAAAATATATAATATTAATACGATTAAACCAAAAGAAAATACGATTTCATTCATATAATAAAAAGGAGCTAATTGTGGCATTTTTAAAAGTAAATTATTATTGTTTTTTAAACGAATTCCTCGTTGTTACACTTATAGTGATAACGGGAATAATTTAATTAAATAATTTTAGTTATAGCTTAATACTAACCTTAAATAAATATTATTTAGAACTATCAACTAGCTGCGCTAGCTGCTAAAGCAGCCCTAGGGTTAGATAAAAGCTATTAAGCGAAACATAACCTAGCTAAATGGGTGAAATCACTGCGTAGTATTCACTACGAAGTATACCACTGCTGCCATCGCACTATGAAATACTCTTAATCTAGACTGCTTTTAG